ATTGTTGAGCAGTGTATATTGTACAAATTGTACATAATATCGCTGATTTAGAGGCGATTATATTGATGCAACTCTATGTTAAGTTATCAGAAAATATGCTACCAACATATGAGCCCTGTGCAATGTGCATTAACAGAAAAATCAGCTATTTGTTTAGATGTCTCCATGTAGGATAGTTCTGATACCATACTGATGCTATTTTAATATTGACGTGAGGATAAAAGGAACCATAAAAGATCAAATTTGAGAAGAAAAATAACATGTAACCAACAGTGCCTTGCGGGAAAGATCACAAATGGTAATGACGTGTGTAACTTTTTCATAGCCATTGAAATGTTATTTTTTAAAACAGAAATATGTCTTTTATAATGTAAAAAACCCAAATCTTGCTATTATATTATATGCTACCAAATTCTGATTAAAAAAAATCAAAAATAGTTATTATAGCTCTCTAAAATACTAATATTATAATCTCTTGCAAAATACAGGACTATTTTATAATTTATTGGTTGTAAATATTTTGTAACATCATTATGCATTGTTGATAGGAATAAAATGGATTAATTTGAATATATAATCATACTGGTAGGTACGGAATGGAATGATAGAATACGTTATTTATAAAATTATAAAACTAATAGCAAAACACTAATATAGTTTATATGTTGAATAAGTAATATAATTTTTACACTAAAAATTTTATTTTTGTCCTCATAGATCAACTATTTTATCTATTATTCAATGAAACTACGTCTTTAATCATTCATTTGTCTATTTTTAAAATACTAATATAACCTTAACATAATTTCCCTAGAGACATTCTAAACGATGAATTTTTTACACAAGGGAGTAATTTTTACAAGCTAATAATGCTTACAAAATATGCAATTTGTCCACTTCCTACTTCGTAAGCCCTTTGCTCTTAGTGAGAATCTGTATGTGAGAAAGTACTAAAACTGTTTTGGGAGAGTTCCAAAATCAAACCCCATAGGATAGGTGTATAAGAACCGTAATCGTGGAAGCTTTCATTGATGCGGTTGATGCACAGGACCGTAGCCAGAACCAATTTTTAAGTAGTGCATCCGAAATTTTAAAAAGAGCAGTAATGGGATATAACCAGTTTAAACGTGTCAAGTTTACCAGTGTTGCGTGTTATCATGAACAATGATGATGACTTCGAGGGGTGTATTGTGACTATATTGTGATGTGTAATACCGATTGGCTACTCTTAAGGTAGGGCATTGGTGTTTTAAGGTAGGGCTTTGTCCCTATATATGTGCCCCCCGTGGGTGCAACCCTGTGATGCGCCGCATCCCTTAAAAATATTGTTAGCCAATATTTTTTTTATTTTAAACAAAATCAATAAGATTTCTTATAATAAATTGAAACTCTCAGCGAATTTATTCAAATACTTAAATTTAATTTCAATTATTTATGTGTGTATTTACTTTACTACCACAAAGCATTGTGCCTTTTCGGCCGTGATTTCACGCTTGCGTTTTCCAGTCCCTTGGTTTCGCTGGTGGCTTAAACGCTTATAGTTCTTGATATTAATAAAAATGTGCAACACTAGAAGGATTGATCTTAATTTAAAACATATACGTTCACATGCTTGTTTTTTTACGTAAACTGACCTACTTTAATTTAGTTCATTCTTTTTTTATTCTTTTGATTATTTTTTTAACCTGTCACATTTTTTGTGTACTTTTTGTCCAAAATTAAAAAATAATAAAAAACTTGATTGTTTTTATAGCATGTGAATGAACCTTTACCGTTATTTGACAATTTTGCATTATTCATGCATGAAAAAAGCCCGGGAATATTCCCAATAAACACAGTTAATTGGCACCGTCACTAGGCCGAAGGATGCCGGACTGTAGCTTCGGCATATAGGTAGGGCATGTCCGCCCAGCCGAATGTCGGCTGCCGAGTACATTATAGCCGCATTCATATATCTATCTATAGTTCGACCCGTAAGGATGCCTCTCATGCCCGGCTAGCCAAATATTCACCGCGTTCGGCCCGTTAGGATGCCTCCCATGCCTATAAAGCCAAATGTGGACCACACGCGTTTTCTACTTCTAAATTACGTCAAATGGTACGGTCCTCCCGGCTCAGAAGCAACCCCTATAACGGCAATTCGAGTAATCGGCTTCCCGTACATGCCGGTGTCAGGCCGAGCGAATGCCGACTATTTGTGATTTACTGGGTTGAATCTAGTAATTTTTCAAACAACATAATTGTACTATCGATGTAGAAAAATTCCTACACTACACCGAAAGTAGCAAAACCCCCATTATGCATAAAAACGTTAAATTAATGAGGACTTTACATCACATTGTTACATTGTAACCCTCATTTTTTATCTGTAGGACGGACTCATAACCTTCTAAGCCCAGAGTAGGGACGTTTACTTTTGTGATGAAACAATGTAGACGTTGCGGTGATATTACAACGCTACCTTGTTACGTTATTCAACGTTATTGGAAGTTCCCAAAAATGATGTCTTTTTAACAAACCAAATGTGACATTCCTGGTATATCCAAGAAAGTCTTTTTACTTCTTCTAGATGTTTTTATAAAAGCCCATAAAATAAAATCATATTAATGAACCAAATGTGACGTTCCAAATTCGATACAGTTCATACATTTTTATTTTTTTTTTTTTAATTTTATATGAACCATGTCATTTATATAAATATTTTATATTTCATCTATATAAAACAAACGCTTAGGAAGACAAGTTAACTTCTAATTTCTAATCCCAGAAAATTTTGCAGAAAAAGTATGATAATACAATGGACTAAATTAGTATCAAAGGTAAAAGTAATAATCTTTCCTCCATGGGTAAAAGTAAGAACTTTAATGAAATACTTAATACTGGGCAACAGACTGCTCCATAATATCCAGTACTACCGGTTACGTAAGTAGCAAGCGATCATTGGTATCTCCATCTATGAACGCGGGACGAACTGTTTAAGTCTGCCAGGTCTGCGATGTGAAGACTAAAGATAGCCATCTTAAAGATGTGTAACTTGTACACATTACTGTGCTGACCTGTATACAATATTATTGTGATTTAGAAAAATTAACATCGTATAAATGTTTCTCACAGGAAGTAACTAAAAAGAAGTACAAAAGATGTTTATGTAACTGCTAATTCAAGTATTGCAGCGTACATAAAACTTATAATTTGTAGATATATGCGAGGAATGTTAATGAATATGATGTTAAACTTTAAACATCTATGGGATATTTTAGTATCGTTTCAAAAATATATCAAGAAAAGTCACTATGAGAAACGTTACAAAAAAGACTGGTAATGTTTCATGTTTAGTGGGCTGGACGACAAAAAATGCTTGCAAAGGGATTTTTGTACTGTTATATAGATGTATAGAAGCAAATTATTTCATTGCCATCCATCGATAAGAAATAATATTTTGAATTTGACAGTTTACACGACAGCCCCCACCACCGGGACAAAGTACATGTTTTCCCAACTACAAATAGCAAGCAAAAAACACGACGTGCTTCTTTTCGCAGTCATATGAGGGACTATCAGAGGTATTAAAATAAATGATTTTTTTCTATTCAAATACTATTCCATTCATCATCCTACAATTTCATATTTATAATACATTTATTCGTTTCAAAGAAAATACCTTGTTGCCAGACTTTTTCGCTACCCTGTATTCACTTTAACACGTCCCAATGTTTGATCTTGCCAGCTCTCTGCATAATGTATATAGATATCCTTGGACTACGAAGGGCATATTATTTTTTTTAATTACTTACCCATTTTTGTTAATTAATTCAATTAGTAATAATTTAATGATTTCGATTATTTTTTTTGCCAACGAAAAAAAAATTGGTAACACCCTCGTATATATAGATTGATTATGAGTTTCAATCCCAGTGTTGCCAGATTTAATTATTTTACTTATTAGTCAGAAACTTTTTTTTATGTAAAAATAATAGTTTTTCATTTAAATAGTAATAAACTAAAAAAAGAATAGTTTAGTATAGCTTAATTTACATTTGTTTATATTACCTATGTATAACTCGTTATACCTATAACGTCGATGTGTCCAAAAATAATACGTATTCTTCGTTAAAATAGAAAACATAAACTATAGGTCTGTTCTGGGTTCTGGTTCTTCAGAAGTATGTTGAAAACTGTCCGAGTACTAGATATGACCAGGACAGGGATTCTTATGTGCGTACTCAACACGTAACGAATTGAATAGACAGAGACATTACATACGAATCGCATTCTGTGGAACGAAGATAGTTGTCTCAACACATGCCGTATTGAAAGATGAGAATCCCTATGCAGTAGTAAGTTGAGAAATTTTACGCAGATATTCAACTGTTCCACTGGATCTCGGACAGTTTGCAGTACATTTTGAAGAAACCAGAACAAGCCTATAATGTAAAATTAAATGTTTCTGCATCGAAAAATGTAGATCTGTTCAGAAATGTATAAACGGTGTAAATGAGAAAAACGTGTATAATAGATGCTGCGTTTGAAAAATACCTTGTTTTCCTTTTGTTACTCGATACCGCCCTTTTTGCTCCGTTTACTCCATTGATATGGTTTGCTCGATGTCACGTGAACAAAAAATCTACTCGTTCTGCTCGATGAGGTACATTTCAAACGTAGCAATAGTAGGAGTAGAATAATTAATTTCCAAATTAATTAGAACAGGGAAAACTTGGCAACATTGGACTTTGATTTGACATTTTTTAAATGTAAACTGACAGTACTGACACTGACAGCAGTGACAGAGAGAGACGTAAAGGGGGAAGAGCGAGAGCGAGCGGTTTTTGTTTATCCATTTCTGGTAAATAAACAACTCTCTGTATTTAATTAATTACCCTTAAATTTAATTTATAGTATATAAGATAAATTCCTGTTATCCTGAAATAATTTCGAAAATGTATACATTGCTATTACGATATCACACTTAAACAGTTTTATATTTAGGTTTTTTATTTTAGGTATGCTAAGCAGTACACTTCTGAAGCAGTATATTCTGTATATTAATAGAAACGTCTATTTACAAAAATTGAAATGGTACGTAGACGTTTTATAGAACATATCAACTATGAATTATATAAAACCCTAAATTTTTTGTATAAAAACTCCATGTCTCTGTTATTACAACTACATACTGGTGGTGCACATTCAAGTTTTACATTTTTCTGGTGTTATGGGAATAAAAAACTCAGTTATGTATATTCAAAATTATATTTAATTGTCAAAAATGTTTGAACACTTACATAGGTACTTAAGTTTTATCTCAAATTTGATGACTATGTTTAAAAAGCTTTAATGGTAAATTCTAATTTGAAATGAAAACTACACTGTAGACTTGTTTGGAATGATTTTTAAAGGAATATTTTAATTCATGTACATCGTTCTGATGAAAAATCTAGTATAGGTAATTGAAATATTCCAATAGTAAAATATTATGTCAATATACCCAAAACCCTGGCCACTTTAGGATAATGGGGTCCCCTATGACTGATATGACAGAGGTCTTGGTATTTAGCAACAGGCAAAAGGAGTGGATAAGCAAAATTCTAGATATAGTCAACTGTTATTTTTATTTCTTCGCAATTTAATAAATATAGAAAATGTTAATATAATCCTGAAGTATAATCCTTTAGCATTCTTTCTATGCAGGTTTGGTCTTAAAAATGTATGGCGATTTAAGAGGTACTTTCTAGATTTAAAATAAGCATCAATCACTTCTTCAAAGTTCATTTTTGAGCACATCACATACAATGGACATCAGAGACAAACGGTTTAAACTTTCTTGATTCATTTTTTATTCTTTTCAATTTGGAAAACGAGGGTTCCCCACTGTATTTACCATCATGCTTGAAAAGATTCTCAATACAATTTCTACTTTTGGAAAAGCATTTAATTTTATTTTCTTTCAAAAGATGATCATTAGACTGGACAATTTTCAAGTATTTTGTTAAGTGTAGACATTCCATTTCACTAGTCAGTAATTATCATTTGATTTTCTGAAAATAAATATATTTATTGATGATATCAGTTGATCTGGCAGGAACGTGGGGTCCCTGGAGTGCAAAATGGGAAAGGGAAGTCTGAATATGTAAAACATTTAATTGTGTTGTAGTAAAGACTAGGTACATAAATTTGTTCTACTTTGTAGTTCCCCTCTACACTTACTTATCTATGATAGTACAATAGTGTCTTTGGACCAGTTTGCTTGAATTGTTTTGGGAGTTATTTAACTTTTACCTGAAACTGCACCTTTAGCAGTTTGAGGGAACAAAGTATGTTAAATTAACAAAATATAATTTTATTTTAAGCATACAATGGATGAACGAACCAGCTCTCCCTCAAGAAGCCTATCGTCCCACTCCAATAGAGCATGTTGCCAACATTATCACACATGGTATTTGGATACTTCCTAGTATTTCAGCAACTCTAGAATTAATTAGTAGATCTAAGGATGGTGATCAAATGCTCTCTGCTCTTATTTATGGAGCAACTCTGATATTTTTATTTACTGTATCCACTTCATTTCACTGTGTATTCTTCTGTAAGGGATGCAGGTAAATAGACATAAATTTTATTTAAAAATATGAAGATTCTAATATTATATACCATTAAATAACTACTGGTCAACAATGATTGGACATGAAAAATAGTGGTTAAAGTTAATCTGCAATACATTTTTAAATCTCACATCGATTTTGATGAATTTTTTGGTAAAGACTCATTTAATAAATTTGTTAGCTGAATTCCAGTTTTTACCAAGTACCTACTCATTATTTTGCTATTATATGTTCTATTAATTCATTTTTATTGACAGGATTTAATGCCATTGAGTTGATTAAAGGTGGATATCTTATTAGGAAGTCATCTACAGAATTGATTTTAGTTGCCTTATCTATACCAATTTTTGAAAAATAGTTATTGCAGTAGTTGGCCATTTCTTTGTCATTTGTAAATTATTTATTATTGTTTAGAATATTAAAATCATTGTTTGTTTTATTGTTTCGGTGTTCATTTGAAGCTTCTTTAACTATTTTGAATATTTTTTTAATATCATTGTTACTATTTTGAATTTGAATTGTATAATAATCATTTTTAGCTTTATTTATTATTTTATTTAGTTGGTTACATTATATCCTATATTCTCTTAGAAGATTGTTGTTTTTGGTTTTTAATATTTGCTTTTTCATTTTATCCCTATGTTTAATAGACATGATGATGCCTTGACTTATCCATGGTTTTATTTTTTTTTATAAGTATTATGCCTATTAGTTATATTACTTTATTCTTTTAGGGAATATACTATTTCAATAAATTTCTGGTAGGCCAAAATTGGATTGCTAAGAGAAATGACGTTGTCCCAGTTTACATTTTCTAATAATTTTGTAAATCTATCTATATTGGTGTATTGTGTTGTATGTTTGGTTTAATGTGTTATGGTTAAGGTTTCTTTCGTTTGTTGTAATATTTAAAAAAATTGGAAAATGATCAGTTAGATCAGTGTCAATTACCAACGATTTAAATGAAAAATTTTTATTTGGCATATTATTTTTTACAAAAATATGATCAATACATGATTTCGTTTCTACAGTAACCCTGGTGTATGAATTAATATATGATACAAATCCCAAGGAAGATAACATTGCCAAATATCTATTTGTTATTTGGTTTGAGGGATCAAGGATATTCAGGATATTAATATTAATGTCACCAATAAATATATCCATTCCTAGCCTTCTTGGTATATTATTTAAAAAAATTTCAAAATCTATAAGAAATGGATCATCTGATATATAGGGCACACCATTATGACTAAATGTTATTGAGCTTATCATTACATTTGATAGAGGGAACTTTGTATGTTCTATTTCAAACTGAATGTTGTTTTTAATATATATAACTACACCATCACATTGATTATTCACACTTTCATTAAATATGTTGATAAAACCAGGTATAATTAAATTATCAAGTTCAATAACATTACGTGTTTCTCCTAATATTATTATATTCAAGTCCTTTAAACCAAAAGTTTCTAAAAATACTAAAAAGTTGTCAAATTTTTTTTTTATACTTCTAATATTCAAATGCAAAATTTTTATTAAGGTTGTTAAATGATTATTGCAACTGATAATATTTAAAAAATTGTCTAAGTCATAACGAGAATTTTTATTTAATTCAATCTCATTTTCTTCATTTTCAATCTCATTAAAAATATTTAGTTCTGCTATATCCATAAAAGATAGAAAGATTATTTAAATTGTGGTAAATTAGTAAAAACTATTATAATGTTGAGATTAAATTAAAACAAAAAAGAAAGCAAAGATAAGAAATTAATTTTCACAATAGGTTGTTTTATTTTTAAGAACCTGTTTGAAATATTTCAGAGACAATTTTTTTGTACATTTTGTTTATTATGGTAATATCCTTGACACTGATAGCATCTTGGTATGTCAAGGTCCTCATACACTGTGTATCTTTCCCAACCACTATTAACTTTACCTTTTTGCATTATTTGGTCAAAAACTTTTGGACTACATTCACAAATAATCGTTTTGTTTCCAGTGCGCGGTTTTTTTTATAAATATAACTTCTATTTCCTTATCTAGGTTATTTTGATTTATAATGCATTTCTTGATGTCCTCGTTGCTCTTATCCTGGTTAAAATTAGCTATTTTTATTTTCGGTTTCCTCATCTTATTAAGTTCCACATCATAGTTATGACCCAGCTTATTTTTGACACTTTCTTCTAAGACATTCAGTCCTTGTTTATTACAACATTTAATAATTAATGCACCTGAATTAAGAGTTTTCATACTCTTAACTCCAACTTTCAATGCTTCAGGTTTAATATTTTTTTCAACATCATCCTTGGTTTTTTGGTAATTTTGAGGTACTCTTGGTTTAATTATAATTTGTGGATGGTTTATTTGATGTGTTTGCACAGAACCCTTTGTTACTTGGGCATAAGAAGTGGGTTGTTGAATAGGGGATTTTTCATAATCATTAATTTTAGCCTTCAATAGTTCGATGATATCTTCTTTGTTCTTTATTATTTGGTCATTATCTTTGATATAGTTATTTATAATATCAACTAAATCATAACTTCGACACAAATTTTAATAGTTGTCCTACAATAGGAAGGCACCTTATTTCTGAGGCTGACAGATTTGTACAATCTAAACAAATTAGATTCCTGCAGGAATCACATGGATAGCATGGATTTTTGCATTCCTTGCTAGGTTGCTTAATTTGCTTACACAAATTACACTCCATTCTAATGTTAGGCCATAGTTGAAGAAAATAACATACCAAAAGTCGGTACACCACTGGATTAGTTGTTTTTATTTTCTTTTTTTTATTCTTCACTCCACGTTCTTGCATGCAAATGCAGAGACCTTAGTTTAAAACACAAAATTTTTTACAAGAACACTCAAATTACATGGGCAAATTGTTTTAGCTACAAAATTATGTTAAATTTAAATCTAAATTGTGAGTAGAAATCACTAAACATTGCACTTGTGTAGGAGCAAACATAAACACCGCAATCGAACCGCAATACGTCCAAAACTTCTAAAGCTTGATTACCCATTGTGTACACATCTAACACCTTCTTGATTAAATTATTTGTTTATTTGTCTAGTCAACTAAAAGATGTCCTCCATCGTTGTGATAGAGCCATGATATATGTGTTCATAGCCGGATCGTATTTCCCGTGGCTTACTCTAGAAAAATTTCCAATAGAAGGTATGGCTTCCCAGATGCGATGGGTAATATGGTTTCTAGCCATCGCTGGCATCTCCTATCAACAAATCTTCCACGAAAAGTACAAAATGCTCGAGACTATCTTTTATCTCATCATGGGTGTCGGACCCGTTCTTCCTATTATTCTTGAAGTAAGTATTTGATGGATAATCCTAAAAATTGAAAGGTGTATTTGTTTGAATGATTTACAATATTATTTTTTTCCAGCATACTTTTAAAGGCATGAAAGAACTTTCTATAGGCGGATTATTATACATAACAGGAATAATATTTTTTAAGAGCGACGGTGTGCTGCCTTTTGCGCACGCCATATGGCATTTGTTTGTTGTGCTCGCTGCGTATTTCCATTACTATGCTATACTCAACTATTTGTATCCTATATCTACAGATTGACGGCTACTGCCAGAGAAATATATATTGTATGCTCTAAAAGTTGTATCTCAGTATTTGTAAAACATAATTTGACAAAACTCGAGTTGGTTAGATTCTAATTTTTATAAAAATGCTAAAATACATTTTAATTGATGTAAATTTCTAAAATATTCATCAATACGCTTTCAGTATTATGTTACATTGTAGAACTAAGTAAATTGACACTTTGATAAGAGCTATTAAACTATTTTATATCAAATGTTAGAAATTTGGTAGTTTTCTCGCTTTTCTATATTTGCGAATTTTTTTATTCATAAATAAAAATTCTTGATTTATTCTACATATCTTTTTTGTGGCACTTACACCTTTATTACTTGGTAATTTGCTAGTGTTTTCTTGGGGTTTAGGTGTTGGACTTTCAGAACTTCTTCAGTACTTGTATTTATTGTTTAGAATCATATTTTACTAAGTAGAATCCTTTTAGACCCTTCAAATAAATGATGAATAATTCTAATATTCACAAAGTTACTGTGATGCTAAATAACAGTCAAACATTAATGAAAAAGTCAGGTTAATGAACTATTATTGTTACCAATTGTAGGCCATTTTCTAATAGGCTATTAAATTAGAGAGTGGAAATTGAAGATAGGGATGAAGATGCAACCCTTACAGTTTTTAAATTTTTATCTCGAAAACGAAGCAAAATTCAGGTATAGTTAATAAAAAATGTTTTGTAGAGAATGCGATTTCATATTGAAATAGTTCATTTTTTTTTTTTCAATCTTATGACTTTGTTTATAAATCGGTCATATTAAAAATATTGACTTTTTATTGACAAATTAACTTAAAATACTTTTTTTATTGACAATTTTTTAGGACATAATAGCCTATAATGCATATCAAATAAATATACATATTGCCAAACATGTATTTAAATTAAAGTTGCAAAAGTAACTAATCAAGAGATTGAATGAAATTTAATTATTTATAACCAAAAATGTATTTTGAGCATTTTCATACAAAATTATGATTTATTTGGTTCTTAATTAGACTGAAACAATATGTAAGCGAATGTTTTTTTATATATTTTTGTGAGTGAATCTTTTTAAGAACCAACTTCAAAAATAAATGGTTGACCTATTCAGTATTCTGCAATAGAGAAAACTAACAAATAGATAAACCATTCAATTTCAAACGGTTCTGTATATATTAATATTCAAGATAATAGAAGAAAGATTAGTAAAGTGAAGTGTCTTTTATCGAAGTTCGGGTATAACTACTCTAACAGTTTCAGGTGATTCCAACATCGCAATGTAATTTTAATAGGGACTACCAAATCTCTGAATTCCTGTAATATACCCGAATTTCGATTATTATTCAATGATTGCGTATTTTATTAAAAATGTGAAATAGATGTATCCTTAATAAGAGCGGGTTTTCGTGAATTCATTTAAATCAATCACGAGAAACTTCAGCAGAAGGGAATCGAATGCAGGAGGTTCAATATAACCAGAGAAATGTTTAACCTTCTATGAAGGCCATTATTGAATTTACTGTAAATAATGTTACATCTTGTAGCCAAAGTATTTTAACTATTTTATTATGTGTCTGAAGGTAAAAAAAACAAGGTGTCGCATTGATAATGGGAGAAAATGTGATCCAAATATAGCGATTTAATCAAACATGTTTGGAAAAATGAATTTAATCTCGAATTTACTAACATACTTTAGAATAGTATATAACATAACTAATGTGGAAAGTGATATACAATTTCCAATGACTTATGTACACTATTTTTCCTACGACCAAAATAGTAATCCAAAATACAATAGTGTAAAATGTATTGTCTGAAAAAATACACTACAAACAGTAAACAAGTTGATATTATTATATAATAATAATTGTAGATTTTAGAGTTAATGTCATGCAGAAGATAAATTGAAACAAGTCAAAAATCATCTTCTATTGTACATTTTAATAAAAATAATAATGTAAAATCAATACAGTAGATATGTAGCAAAAAATGTAGCTAAATTTGTAGATAATAATTATTCATCATACTAGTTTGATATTTTTCTATTATAAGCTATTTTTGAAAAACAAATCTATCATGTGTAGTTTTAATGGGTGGTCGTAGGAAAATCAACTTTCTTTATTTTTCCAATAGTTCCGTGTAGTAATTATGCAATAAGGGAAATAATTAGGAGTATTACTTCATTTTAATTGGACCAATGATATTTTTGGTTGAAAAAGGTTACCAACTTTTGTGCCAAACTATACATCATTTTAGTACAAAAGTGCAATACATTTTATTTTCCATTCAAAATATATTTTTATTTCGAAATTCTCTTGTCATTTTTTTTAATCCAATAAATTTCTAACGACTTCCATTGGATAATAACTTATTTTGTTTAAAAATATTATTGGACCAATTGTAAATTATCCATATACAGTGTGTGTGTCTACTTTAAGTCGGCTATATATGGGAAACTTTTCTATTATTAGTTTTATGAAAAAAAGTTATTCTTTATAAAAAGTTCTGGATGGTCTAAAATTAAAAATATAACTATTAGATATTAGTTTTTTTAGTCATGTACGAGGTTTTTAAAAAAATATGAATTTATTTTTAATAATATCGAATATTGTTTTTAAGTGAAGTTGATCTGAATTACAAAATGCCTAATAATGTAGAAGAGCACCTAGATAATTTTGAATTGGAACCTATGCCATATTTTTATGCGATTTTTATACTCTATTCATAAATTGCTTCTCGTTTTCTGCAAAAATAAAGGTGTTATTTTTACTACATTAGTAATTTATGTCTACACATTGATATTATTTAATTTAGAACACATTGAAAAACAAATTATAGTCAGAAAACGTCCAAACACTAGTTAGAATTTATAATATAATTGAAATTGATATATTTTAGTCTAGGATGCACTGACAAATTTTTGACAGTGAAACGTCAAAACACTAGTTAGAATTTCTAAAATACAAAAAATGGATAATCTGACCGTACTTTGCAATTCCGATCAACTTGATAATAATTTTCGATATTGTTAAAAACAAATAAACTTGCAAAAAAATTCGTATTTTTTGACAAACCTCGTACATAACTGATTTTCTTTATGTTGGGTTATAGACTATGCAGAAAATTAGCAAAAAAACTAATAATAAAAAATTTCCCGTATGGTCCTTGCTTAACTAGGCACATTATATAAACAATAAACAAATTTAGAATTGTGTTCGATTAAAGTAACAATTAATAATGTCTTCTTTGTTTTTTAAAGAAACGAGGCAATTTTGACGGAAATAAGTTTTAACAAAAACCCTAGAATATATTTTAACCTACACTGTTTCTATTTTATAAATAATAATTAAATTTATTCTTAAAACAAAAGGTGTTTCAAAGTGGTTTGCTCAATATTTTATAACTGTAGCTTAGCGTAAAAAATATAATCTTCAATTTTTTTTTAAATATATTAATATTTAACACCTAGTATTAATATACATTATATAAAATACTACTAGCCATGTTTCCTACCTCTTCAATCTTCAATGAAATTGTAGTACAAATTTTTCTTATTTTCGTCAAAAGCGTCTTGTGTCTTTTACACATTTTTAGCATATATTCTAAAAATGCTAGGTATCGACTTATGTCCCTTATATATGGTATACAGTGCCAAAACTCAGTAAGTGAATTTTATCAAATTTTCCTTTGAAACCTGTCCATAGTATTTATAGGATTTATTGGTATCTAAACGCGTAGTTTTATTGATTTAAAATAGTCGTATCTGCAGTGAATGGTAAATGATATAAAAACTAAACCCTTTATTAAAAAGAAATGTAATTCTGTATTTTAATAATATAACTTTTGTAAATCAGCGGGTATGAAGTGATACACAAAAAATATTTTTTAAATAGGCCATGGAAAAAATCACGTATTCCCAAACAAATATTCTTTTTTTTAAATGACAGTTTGGATTTAATCCAGAGGTGTTAATCAGAGAGGTGACTCTTGCCTTTGTCTTTGCTTTGCCTGCTTTAGAAAGATTTTTTGTGGGTTGGAAATGTAAAAAAAAACAACCAATGTACTTGCTTTAGATACAGTAAATGTCAAAGGACGCTTATTTTTAAATACAAAATATTGAATAAATACTCTGTTTTGACATGAAGAAACCGAACAACACTATAATGATGTATTTAAAAAAAATTATTTGGAATATGTGCTAATATCTCTAAAAAATATTGTAGATGGTTGTGGTGGATGCTGCTCATCCTAAACAATGTGACATCACGTTGATATATTTTTCTTTAGGATGAGTTTATTTTTTTACATTGTCCGCCACAATAATGTAAATGTCGGATTTATAATCATTGATCTCAAATTGAGATTTTCTTGCCAAAATTCTGTAGTTCTATTATAATAATTAATATTTAAGTTAGTATTTAGTAATCGAATAGCTCACATTGATACATTGATGTTATTCATTAGTGATATTTGTTTAGATCTGAGAACTGGTACATTTTAAGAATTTCGAAGAGATTTTGGAAGGAATATTTTTCTGATTTTTGTTTAAATTGTGATTTTTTTGTGATACTTGATTTATATGGTATCATATTTATTAACAATTGTTTCTCTACATATATATTATATTATTTAATTGAATGAAGTGGAAGTTTTTTTTTACTCAACTCATAAAATATCTACTATATCTAGTTATCTTAATAAAGTTTTACATATTGGATAAGAAGATACAGTTTAAATTATATTATACCTTATATGTACCATTTTATTTTCACCCCTACCTTGTGCCTAAAAAAATTCCACTCAAATATTTTCTGATTCATAGAAATAATTTATTTTTCACTATGTATTTTTATATTATTATTTTTCAGTTAAGTCAGTCATACTTTTATTGTAAACTGATGTAATAAATATTAATATTTTTTACAAATTTTTGTAGTTTTATTTAAATATCAATTAAAAACCGGAACCATAATGCTGTTTATTTTTTTTTATATTTATATTAACGTAGAAACAATCAATAATGGTGATTATTTTTAGAAAAAATAACATTGATTGATATTCTCGCGCAAAATCACCCTATAGAATAAACTACACACTGTTACAACGGTGCCAAATAATATACCCAGAAGGCAAATATTTGTGTTAACTCGGAAACATGGAATTAATAGGGAAATAAAATTTAAATTCTCTGCTTTAACAATTAGATATTTTTTTCGGCCTCCAGTGATATCCTAACGGCAACATTTGGCTATAATAGTATATTATGCAACGATCATGTAATGATGGTTATTAATACACGAGCATTAACCGGGATACGAAACGAGCCAAAGGCGAGTTTCGTATGGTTTATGCGAGTGTTTTAATAACCATTACATGAGAGTTGCATACGCTATTTTTTCTACACCCGTTAAATAATCAAGACCTATAAATATTATATTTATATTGGTATTGAACACAATAACAGTAATTACTCGTATTTTTATAAAAAATTCTATAAAATTGTAATTAATGGTATTACTTCGGGTATTGGTATTTCCCTAGATTTTTGCGCCAAAATATTTTGTACTTTATTGTCTGCTTTCTCCGATATGTGTGGAGGAGTCTTCTATATCGCTGATATCCGACATTTTAATATTATAATTATCGAAGTTTAGCTATCTACGAAAATTTAATACGTTTTGACAACTAATACAATTACAAAGGAACCTAGGACAAACGTCAAACAGCATGCTTGATTGAAAAATTGTAGGTTTCTATTGATTAAAAATCTGTATCGTAATGAAAAATCTGTATCATAATGGGTATCATTATGAAACGGATTATGGGCATATAAGTGCATTATTATAATACGGGTGTAGAAAAAGTACTTTATAAGTTTGAAGTGGACTAAAAATTTTAACTATCTTTGAAAATTTTTCGCACTAGCAAAACGGAACTATATTATTAAAACAAAAAGTCTCCTCAAGCCTTAAAATATATTAATTTAAATAATAAAATGATTTATTTGTCTTCAAAAATAGATTTAAAATATTAATGCTTTCGATTAAACAATTTTGGTTGACCCTGTATATCTACTTTTTAGGATCATTTGTGATGTAATCTCAATAGATAGGTTAAGAACACCGACCTTGATAGTGAGGTCTTTTCCTTTACGTGTGTCTTTTTTTCCACCGGTTTGTTGCAACCGTTGTTTCACCGATGCGGCCTTGAACGTTTTGTATTGGATTCGATACTATCATTGCGTTCGGTTTGCCACGTTCCTTTAACTCCTTTAACACTTTTAACTCCAAACGACTCTTTTAGCGTTCGGTTTAGTCCGATTAGTGACAGTTTAACACGCTTAAATGTCATTTAAAAGCACCCTAAAATTTGTCCCGCTCCAGCCCCTGACTGACCGAACTCGCCTATTTTTGGTTGACCGTTGAAATAAATAACAGTTGACATACCGCACCGATGCCAACGTTGCTGCAACAGTTGGATAAAAAGACACACGTTTTGCATCGAAAGTGTAGCACTGGGCTACACCAATTCTGAAAATATCGTTCCATATATACAAATTGTATGGATGGAACGATATTTTCAGAAGTGACGTAGCTCAGTGCTACACTTTCGATGCAAAGGAAAAGACCTATATTAATCTGGATATGACATAGATCCTACTCCTAATTTCTAAGCCGACATGGGTGAAAAAAATGGTCGATGCGCCAGATTGTCAATTTCGAGCATTCTACGTCATGTTTCCCACGGGCGTACTACGTTAATAACGGGCTATTTTAATAATTAATTGGAACATTTGTTTCAGCTGCATATGCCGCGTTTGAGAATTCACATCGGATGCATTTTTTACATCTCGAGCGTTTTTTTATCCACATCGGATACATATGTCCCATTACATTTACGTATACTGAATCACGTGATCAAAGATTTTTTACATCTCAGATGCATCCGATGTGGATTCTCAAACGCAGCAATAATAGAGAGTTGAAGTGATGATATGAACGTATACGTGACCTTTGACATCTGCGCATGCCAATTAAAATATCTTTTACGTCTACGTACATATGCCGCGTTTGAGAATCCACATCGGATGCATCTGAGATGTAGTAAATCTTTGATCACGTGATTCAGTATACGTAAATGTAATGGGACAGGGACCAGGTATCGGTAACTGGTATAGCCCGAGCTGAAACTATATTTTTGTTTCAAGGAACAGATTCTAGATGGCGCTGTACACAACAATTTACAGAAATCTACAATTGATGGTGGAAAGAGTGGGAGTGTCATTTGTCATTGTCAATTGTCAGGCATCCATTATCGATTACCTCGCGGTGAATGACATTTGCCTTTGCCATTTTACCTGTATTTTTTGTGATTATCTATATCATATTGTCAATAATTATTATTTGTTTGTATTTGGGTGTGCTCTGGATCCTGGATGAATAAATAGTAAGTATTTTGTAAATAATTGTTTATTGTATTGTCAACTTGGTCTTGTTCAATTGTGTTTTAAATGTTCAATTTGTTTACTTGATCTTGCTGACGATTGAGCTTATTTTAAATTTTTGTGGTCATTTTTAGTTATAAAAGCTGTAATATATCGTATTGTTGTATGCCAAATTGTTTTGTAAACACTCTGAAATCCTAATAACGATTTATTTCAAATTTGAGTATTGGGTGTTCGCAGTCCATTTTTCAAGAATAAAACAACAAATTTGTAAAAACTATTTAGTATGTGATAAACATTTTGAAGATATGTTTAAAGTTCTTGGTGCACGCAGCGATCTAACTGTATTTTTATTTGTTCTAGTACAAACTTTTTCAAGCCGTTTGGAGTGGCAGTAGTATTGCATTGTTGAAGACAAAAACAGCCTAGTCAGGGAAGTAATAGTCACTGTACTTTTTGTATTCATGCCTCACATTTGATTTTTATATTGATTTAGTTCAGATTGTTTCTTTTACTGTTTTTGTATTTGTTCTAGTACAAACTTTCTTCAATCCGTTTGGAATGGCAATATTGGATTGTGGAAGACAAAATAGCATAGTCCGGGAAGTAATGGTCAGTATACCTTTTTTTATTTATGCCTCACTTTCTGTGCTCCCCAACAGATTTGAAGGGTTCAGGAAAAAAAGGGGCCTAGTCACAATTACCAAAATGTTCAGAAAACCAAATTTAATTTAGACTGACTAAATACAAACTTTTGATACTTTAAGGTAATTGATTACAAAAAGATGTTACTTTGTTTAAATGTTGCCTGATTATATTGTAGTTTACCACTTAATTTACCAGACAGTTGTAATTTTTTATTCTAAATACTAAAAATGACAAACAAACAGTAGGAAAGTCCTTGGACATAATTTTAAATGCACTGTTTTGCATTTGCTAATACTGGTATTTTACAAAATAGGGCGGGCCAGTTCAATTTTGATAAAAATGTGGCTTAGCTCCTTTTTTCTTCCTGTACCCTTCTTGATTTATAAGTTGATTAATATTTATTTTTTGTTTTAGATAAAACTCTTCGACCTCTGTGGACAATGACTTAACTTTCCAGCTAATTAATACGCTACATTTAATTATTCTATTTTGTATGTTTTTTTTGTTTTAATAAATTAATTTTGTTGATCATGCTTTTTAATTTTTTGTAAAAATATTTCAACTTGTAGTCAAGTTAGGATTGGTTCATACTACTCATTTTTTGCTTTATTGTAACAAATATAATTTTATTGCTACAATAAACGTAAAAAAGGAGTTGGTATGAACAAATCTTAATTTGACTACCACTTTTAAACTAAATATTGAAGGACCATTTTGAATGTTCCCGCGTTTTGTGTTAACTAAAGTGACCGCGAGATGGCGCCACTTCCGCCAAATAGTTCAAAGAACGCACACCGGGTGTTACAAAACTGTCTCAAATTTTAACATTGCAGTTTCCATTCTAAAAGTAATTGTTCTATGACAGGGACCCAATTCCTGACGCCTTCGTTAACTTATCGCATGCGATAACGTATGCGACTTGATGAAAGTGTATTCCTGAACTGGCGGCATTCGTCAAATTTATTAACGCATGCGCTAAAAAATGGTGACTTTCAAAGAGCGCTCATGACCGTTCGACAACCACTTTGTCGCATTCGTTAAGGCGAAAGTAGGTTTATAATTGTCAATTATTCCTGCTTTATCATATGTGATTCGTGTTTCTATCTATTGGTTTTGTTTTGTGATTTATTGGGAAATATTTATTTTTAATTTGACTTTTTTGAACATTTTATTAGTTATTAGAATATAAAAATTAAACTTTTTGTACCGTGAACTCTTTTATTGGACGCTTAAGTGCCAGTTTATTTTGGTATATTTTATTTAGTATGGACGATATAGAAGCAATAGTTTTACAGGCACTAAACAATGTTATAAATTCTACTAAAGTTTCACGCTGTTTTTCCGTTATTTGTGAACCATGCTGTTCCATTTTTAATATTCTAAATCTAAACCACTCCAATTCTCAAGTCCAAAATACAAATAATCACAGTTAAAACATCTAAAAACAAAAAAATATTAAACATCTGCAATCTATTTAATATTATAATTTTTGCATTTTTGGCAATTTTGACATATGTCAATGCAATTATTTCATATTCAGTGATACCATCATTAGTATTCTCAATCCTCATTGGTTAAGACTATGCAATAATCAAAGACTCTTCGTTAACACGTTCGACTTGATTCGCGATTATCGCATGGTGTTCAGGAATACTAAATTGCTGTCGTATGCGTTAACGACCATACTTAGCGCATGCGGCAGTTAACGCATGTTTCGTGAATTGGGCCATTACATTTACGTATACTGAATCACGTGATCAAAAATTTACTACATCTCACAATCAGATGCATCCGATGTGGATTCTCAAACGCGGCATATGTACGTAGACGTAATAGTATATTATGCAACGATCATGTAATGATGGTTATTAATACACGAGCATTAACCGGGATACGTATGGTTTATGCGAGTGTTTTAATAACCATTACATGAGAGTTGCATACGCTATTTTTTCTACACCCGATAAATAATCAAGACCTATAAATATTCTATTTATATTGGTATTGAACACAATAACAGTAATTACTCGTATTTCTATAAAAAATTCTACAAAATTGTAATTAATGGTATTACCTTGGGTACTGGTATTACCACAGATTTTTGGGGCAAAATATTTTGTACTGCATTTTCTCCTTTCTCCTATATGTGTGGAGGAGTGTTCTATATCGCTGATATCAGACATTTTAATATTATAATTATCGAAGTTTAGCTATCTACGAAAATTTAATACGTTTTGACAACTAAAACAATTACATAGGAATTTAGGACAAACGTCAAACATCATGCTTGATTGAAAAATTGTAGGTTTCTATTGATTAAAAATCTGTATCATAATGAAAAATCTGTATCATAATGGGTATCATTATGAAACGGATTATGGGCATATAAGTGCATTATTATAATACGGGTGTAGAAAAAGGATATTTTAATAGGCATGCGCAGATGTCAAAGGTCACGTATACGTTCATATCATCACTTCAACTCTCTATTATTGCTGCGTTTGAGAATCCACATCGGATGCATCTGAGATGTAAAAAATCTTTGATCACGTGATTCAGTATACGTAAATGTAATGGGACAGATGTATCCGATGTGGATAAAAAAACGCTCGAGATGTAAAAAATGCCTCCGATGTGGATTCTCAAACGCGGCAATACTAGACATAAATTGGAAAATTAGAAATCCCAATATAATATGTTAATTGTCATTATTTGTCATGATACGTAAATGTCACGATGCGTTTAACAACTTCAACTCATATTTTGTACAGCAACGTATACATTATTTTTCTGCATTCATGTTTACGTTAACGTACTGAAAACGCTTCAACTCTCTAATAATCAAAAATCATTTTTAAGTGATTTTCTTAAATTAAAAGGTGTCGTAGTTGAATGTAATATTTAATTTTGATGTTCCTTTTTAGTGCATTTCGATACGCACCTGAGGGCGCCAGGGTGTCAAATATCACCTCGCTATGTGGCTTGATTTTGTTGATCGGCTTTGTTCTTCCAGTTTTATTATAGTTCAGTGGGTCCAAATGTAAGAAATTAGTTTTTTTTCAGGAACCGCTGTCAAAAATCCTGGTTACTTCGTTACTTGCGGTTAGTAGTCGGTTAATATCGGACCGTACTCTAAAAGCAATCGAACTTGTCCGACTTGTCAAATGTGATTCGAAATTTAAATGGCAACGTTGCATTTCTCCTGTATGATTTGAGGTTATTGTAGAAATCGTAGGTTTGTATTTAATATTGGCAAAGAAATTTAAGAAATTCTTCGTATTCTACCAATTTTATAATGTCCATGTCCCTGGAGGATAAATTAAAACAAGGACCAAAGGAGGGGGTTACTTACCCAATTCATGTAGTTTATTGTGGAAACTGTTCGATGCCAATTGAGGTATGTACAAAAAAATTTTAGTCCATATTTTATACAAAATAAATTTATTTATATTATTCTTTTTAGTATTGCGAGTATTACCCTGAATATGAAAAATGTAAGCAATGGTTAGAAGTAAATTTACCAACGGAATTCGAGAAAGTTAAAATAGGAGATGATAATCCGGTAGAAGAAGAAAAAAAGAGACAGAAACGCGGCGGCAAAGGAATGATTAAAACTAAGAAAAAGGAAGATGGTCCCAAACAAGTTTATGTATCTAGGGCACCAAGGGGAAAAAAGAAGTCTGTCACTGTAGTCACAGGTTTAAGTAGTTTTGGTAAGTGTCCCTCAATGTTACTTGCTGCATTTCTCCAAATTTAGGAAACGGTTTTTAAAGAATTAGAAACCCTTGGAGTTTGTAATGTTTAATTCTTTTCTCCATTTAATTGTCAAATAAAAGCTGTTAACCCTAGATTGCCAGTGCAGGTACATTTGACTTGTATATTTTCAAAAGCCCTGCATATCTCCCTACCCTCTGCTTCTATCGCATTGATGGTCTAGCTAAGCTCTGCTTAGTCTGTTGACTTAATAGTGTTAAAATGGTGTCAACGTACTGTAAATCTAAGAGAAGTTTTTGTCACTTTTATAGTTATGTACATATAATTTATGTATATATTGCATATACATAATCATACATCAAAAGAATTGTTATAGAGTGGGAGGAAATTCACATCAATTTACCTTCAACACTGTCCATGAAGGAACTAATGCTGTCATGTAAAAAAGAGAATGTCCAAGTAAAATATGTGATTTGCTTAAAACCTATAGGTATGTGGTGAGCATTAGAATAAGAAGTGTCTGAATTGTTAAAATATAGTAAAGCTATAATTTTAAAATATAATAAGTTTTTAAACATTTTGTTACTGTTCTTTTGACTCAATAATAATTGCAGTGTCTTTCTTTTAAAAGTGAACACCTAACATTAACATATTACTGGTAAAAAAGTCTTTCGAATAATATATAGGGTCCACTTCTTTTTAATCTCTTTGTAAATGACATTGCATGTTGTATAAAAAAAGTCTCAGTTCCTACTATTTGCAGATGATTTAAAAATCTTTATATTGTTGAAAGTATATCTGTTTGTTTTGATTTACAGACTGATATTAACAACCTAGCATTGTGGTGTAATGTAAATTGTATGAATCCTATGTTCCAGATTAGAAATCACAACTTTGCAGAACCGGAGAACTCAATTAGATCTATGCTTCCTATTCAAACTTTTGTCTGGGTCAATATATTCTCCTGATATTTTATTAAAAATTGGTCTTAAAATTAATAGTGCAACCAGAGCTAATGAAACTTTTTTTATTAGACACCATAGACAAAATTACAGCTTTTATAATCCATCCATGATTGGTTAGGAGTGCAAACAGTATAGAAATAGACTTGGATTTTTTTGGTTCCTCATATCCTTCATTTAAAAGAAGTATTGCTAACCACTTTCTTAATGACACTTGAAAGTACTGTTATTGTCTGCCTTGTTAATCAAATGTTTCAATCATATATTTTAATCAAATGTTTTACATGATACAATTTCTGATGTTTTTTATTTTGTATTTGTGCATATAACATATATTTTTTATTGTAAAATGGGGTTTTCCCATAAATAAATAAGACATAGAATTATCGATCCATTTATGTATTACAGATATTGATCTGAAGGTGGCTGCAAAATTTTTTGGCACAAAATTCGCTTGTGGCTCCTCAGTAACTGGAGATGATGAAATCGTTATACAGGGAGATGTTAAAGATGATTTATTTGATGTTATTCCTGAAAAATGGTCTGAGGTAAGATTATATGCTAGTTGCAGAAAACTTTTTAATACAAATAAAAATAAATGTCAGTTTGATATTTCGTCGCTAACATGACAAAGGGGCGTATCTCAAAAAATTCCTGGATTTAAGTTGGGTCCATCAAAAGACGCTTTCGGAATCTATATATTTTTACAATACACAATATTTTATGTTATTAGCATTTTTAAGCAACTTACAGTTAAAAAAATCTAGATTGAAGTTAATAAAAACTGTAATTACGTAAATCTTGTAATTTTGAGATATGCCTGTTCATTTTGTCATGATTTTTCTGATCTTATGAAGTTTTTTGTGACCGTTTATTACACTCTGATAATAATTTTTCCCTATTTTAGATTGATGAAGATTTTATTGAAGATTTAGGTGACCAAAAAAGATAATTTATTTTCATTTCTTATCATAGGTAAATATGATTTTTTAATCTTAAAATGTCTATATAATTAAATACTTGTTAAAAGCACATTTTATAATTATTTTAACAATTTCCTTCTATCCATTTCCATATATTTATTTTGCATTAACATGTTACATAGACATGATAGTTCATGATGAAAAAATGAAATGGAAACAGTAATTTTTTTTAAAGATGAATATTTTATAGAATGTCTTAGACTGCTTGCAAATTATACTGCAGCAATGTTGTGCCTTTGGATGCATCCCAAGAAATTTTACTATAAACAATTCCTTTCAAGATGAATTACTATATAATTATAATGATTTAATTACATTGATAATTCAAATGATTTATTTTTTTATACAACAATTTATTATTCTATATTCAATTAAAATAACTAAAATTCACTCAGTAGATTAACTCTGTTCTGGAGCTTCTTCATTATCATTTTCTGGTTCTTCTTTAACGATATGAGGAAAATGCTGAGCCACTATTCCTAAAACTTGTTGAACTTGGCTTTCACTTAGTCTTTCTTCACTTTCTTCTACCATCTAAAAAATTAATTAGAACCCAATACAGTTTTATATAAATATACCTTTATTATTAACATACCAATTGAATTTCTAAAGCTGTGATTGGTAGTGAATTCATAATCATCAAAAGTTCAGTCTTATTAAGATTAAATGGGGCTAAAGCTTTCATACAATCTTTAATACTTTCTGATGTTTGTTCATTTGTAGCAGTATTTTCTAAGTACCTGATGGTCTAAAAGTAATATGAAAGTAGATTACCCTATCTTTAAAATGATTGCCGAACATATTGTCTAATTATTTGAAATCAAATGATCTAAAAGATCTTTCACAAAATAAAAAAATATATATATAAAAAAGTTTAAGGTACCTCATAAGTTATTGTGGCAAGTTGACCCTTGTGTGTCTTTTTACTATCTTTAATTTTTTGTAAATGTTTCAGTACTTCAAAGTTACTAAGCGAAGCACAGTTACTGTTAACTCTGAAAAATAACTAATTAGTAAATACAGTTATTACTGTGTGTATAAATATTACATTTCCATTATAATGGTTTTTATCCAATGTGTTAATTTTATAAAATTATAAATAATTTGGATGTTTTTTTGAGGTTATTGGAGGCCTCTTCTTTTTCTTTTAAAATACCAAAAATGGCCTGTTTCTACGTATTTGCTATTTGTGGTCTATTTTTAGGTGATGATACAGCACAATCTTCGCCGTAGGTGCCCTTTACTGTGTAAGTCATCCATAAAATCTTGATTTGAATAAGTGAAAAGCGACTAAGCTAGACCACAATAATGCTTTTCGTCGTCTGATTTACATAGGGGTAAACTATTATCTATATAACTATATTGTGACAGGCTTCTGGTTCACCTACAGTGAATCAGCGAGTCTATGATGGTGATTCCCGAATAAAGGTTGCTCAGGCGCTAGTTTTGGTATCGCACTTTGCTCTGCGACCCTGGAGTACACCAGAGTGTACTCAAGGTAACTCAGTGGAGGTAAAAATAATTCCAGGCGGTCACTGCTAAGTAGCCACTATACTAGAATAAATAAAAATAAAACACTTATCTCCTTTACACCTCGTACCCTACGGTACCTTGAAAGAGAACGGTTAAGAACCAGCAATAAGAGAAACACAGGAATAGGTAATAAAATATATATTTACAAAAAAAAAATACAACAGTAGTAGTGCACGGGTCTGGCACGGCTGTAAACGGAAAATTAAATAAAATGAATGATTACAATTGAATGAGCTTAAAGAGAAATAATTAAAGTATTACAATTGAAAAACTAATTAAAAATTGTATTCGGAAAATTTATTAAAAATAATTTATTACAATTGAAAATTATTTAAATATTAACGGCTCCTTGTATTCGGAAAATTTATTAAAAATAAATTAATACAATTGAAAACTATTTAAATATTGGGAAATATTTACGGTTCGCTAGCACAGGAGGCTAAGCGGTCCGGGAATTATGAGACTCCCTGTATATGGAAAATTAATTAAAAAAAAATAAATTAATTAATTAAATATGACGGTAATCAAATCTAAGAAAATAAAGTTTTCGGAACGTCCCTGTATCTTAGTTCGGACCAACCAACACTCTGGCAATTTTCGTCGAGTGAGAATGATAGGAATTTACGCGGTGTTTAGACAGCGAAGGCGACGGTGATAGAAAAGATTATTTTGAGATTTGCCCAAAGTCGATCAATTAATTTTACAGAAATCGTCTGGCTTCTTTCAATTAGTTGTGGACGAAGAACGGAATGATTCAAATACAACTGAATGAATAAATAAAAAAAAACTTACATGAAGTGAGGCGCGAAAATTAATTTAGACGTCTTTTTGGGAAATTAGATAACGTCGTCAGGACAGAGATCACTCAACCCGGGGACGGATCGAATATCCGAAAAAGAAAATAAAGGGCCGGCTTTTCCCCAAAAGTAATAAAATAAAAAAAATTGAAAACAGGTTGATCCTTTCACTTCAATGTTAATAACTGGGCGCTTCCTAAGAGAGATTGGATATAGTCGTTGACAATGAGAGCACTCAGAGTCTAGCCTATATCCAGCCTCAAATAAAAAATTGCCAACGGTTTCCCACTGAGGGATGAAATGAAATATCCTAGATATGAATCGTTGAAAAACGGTAATTCCTGGGAAACAGAAATACGGGGGATTTTCTACATGTCCTCAGGCGGGAATTAATTGAAATATACATTTTTAAATTAATTGAGAGCAAAATTTAGTGACTTCGTCACAATATATAATCGGATCTTTCTCTTCTAATATACGAGCGCCATCTTAATTTCATACGTTTTGGGGACACTTTTTGAGATCTACAACCGTATGAGATTGTTCTCCTTTCCGCTATATTCCATAGTATGTACAAATGAGGGGTAACATTTTAATAATCACCAGATGGCGTACCTGTAACGTTAGGTCTATGGAATGACCTGTCAAAAACATTTTTTATTTTAAAATGTTAATAAGCCTATTAAACTTTATTTTATTCGAAAAATAGATGGTTAAGTCAGTGGTGTTCCTCTGACGAGAAAAAAAGTTGCCATGCCTGGATACTTGCCACATAAGCGCAGTTTCTTTCAGATAATTTGAATATAAGAAGATTCTTCCTTCTTGGTGAACAGGGTGCAAAAACAATATTTTGTTGAAAATGGAGTAAAAAGTGTTACTATTTAATATGAAAGTAGAATTATAGGAACTATGGCAGAACTGTTAATACCTTGCATAACACCAGCATTGTGGGCTGGCGCAGATATTTCCATAATTATTACAAATTGCAAAGCAACATAAAATTTTACCTACACATTCACAACATTGAGAAAAAGAAAAGATAAATATCCTCAAATCCCAAACGCGTATTGATTACTGCGCATGCTTGCTCCAGAATCATGCCTCGTTGAGGTGGTACAGGATAATTACCTCCGTGTATTCTGATCCATCTAATTTGAACGTAATAGTTAACGCGGGGCTTTTGACGAGTGTAATTTGAACGCGGCAGAGTGATCTGTCCGAATTCAGCAAATGATATGTGACGGTAACGTATTGCGGCTTTTACGAATTTGAGGTATCAGCTGATCGAAAACAGCTCGCCTAAATAAATTTTAATCTGCTCATAGCCAATCAGATTTTATCGACTTTTTAACCTCTGTAATTTTTTGTATTCTGGATAGAGCCCATCTTATCGCCATTTTGTACTAGGTTGGATTATCCAACGCCATTTTGTAACGGTACTTATATTTCGCGGTGCTGTTTAGTAAACGTTAATTCGTCCCCAGCGCTGTTTTGCTACGGAGGCCATATATTCCTGCAGAAAATTCCGTACCTGTATAATGCTGTAGTTATTTTGTTAACGTATATCGAAAGGGTTTTGACACATTAAAAAATCAACTCTGTACCATGGGGAAAAGACTTTATTCTTAAATATATACAGACAAAGTATTCACAACTTCTATTTAGAGTACAATATATGCATGTAAATTACATTTAAAAGATTATTATATAAACAATTGTGCACATGCAGATCAAGCAAGCAGAGTGTTATAAATAGGATAGTTGACCTTTTGAGGAAAACGGACACCAACATATGGGTTGAAAATGGTAAGAGAAAAAAAGTCTGAAATATTTATTTTTATACATTTTAGATTTATAAAGAATAAAGCTTGAAGACATAGTTTGACCAATTTATAATTATAGTTTTTTTTTTCTTAAGAGCCTACCTTAATTTTGTTTGTCTTTGACAAGTATATTTCTGAGTTACAAAACATTTTGTAAACATTTTTTTTGTATCGCTGTAATTCGTCGGAAATACTGTTGAAAAAAATCGAAAATTTGAATAAAACCACCTCAAAAGGTTAACAAAACAACGTTTGAATGTTTCATGCAAGTACCAAAAAAGTTAAAACTCAAATCCAAAGTTAAAAATAAATTACGAAAATATTTTCAAATTTTTATTTAAAAATTAAAAGTAAAACTTATTAAACAAGGAATTATTATGAACAGAGTATTCATTAAAAAGCAAGAAGAATCTTTTCTATACACAAATAATTTTCGAAATGGAAAATCACTAAAAATATCTTATCAATCAACTGATTAAAAACAGCGGTTGCTACATTTTAGCTTTAAGTTCTACTTACGCAAGGCTAATCATTATAAACTGTAATCGCTTTGAAGTATTCCTGAAGACAACTTTAACCAGAAAACGTTTTAACTACATTTTTGATTTGGCATATTCATATATATTTTTTGTTCTTTAAAAGAAGAATTTTTGTAAATAGCTCAATATTCAATAATGGCCAATTATTTTGTTAATTTTATTAGACATTCCATGGCAATTAATCCAGAAATGTTAGTCTGTATAGCTCTAAAAAGGCTCAAATAATGCCAATACTAATCCCTAACCTTACCTTGGATGCAAAAATTATATCAAGAATGTTAAGATGTATGAATAAAATAATTATAATGATCATTTCCACATAATTAGACTTGAATGTTGTTGATATAGCCATCTAACAATCCCGATTTGAACTTCATTGAGCACCTATGGGAATGCTTTGAAAAATCCACTCGCAATCTATAAATATATTCTGTTTTTTTATAAATGTATAAAATCAGAAATATCTTATCAATCGATTCCACTGTCCCGTCCTGAATTAAAAAGAATGGTTTTCATGTTAAAGTTGCATTCATAAAATTACTCTACCTAAGAATTGAAGAGTGAAAATTTCGTATCAGCAGAAATACGACCCTCTTTTTGCACAGTATTTCGAATACATTTTATTTAAGTGTATAATTTTTAGAGATGGATCATCACATCATATTTCTGCATTCTAAATGATTAAAATAGCTACTCGTGAAATTTTGCGAGTTATTCTATAAAGCATCTACGTTTCAGTATATATAAGTTAAGTTACGCTCTAAAAATTCCACCAGAATATCACATAGAAACATAAGAATTATACAAACATCATCCATTTACCTATTAAAAAAAAAACATTCAACATAGTAAAAACTACATGTGAAACTTCTAGAGCTGTTGATTAAAATTAACAAAAAATAATATATATAAGTTATTTCTTAAATAAATTGTTAAATAAACCATTTGTTTAAAAAAAAAAAATGAAACGGAAACTGGTACCTGGCGTAAGATGATCGAAATTTGACAAATATGTTATATGAGATAACCAGGCACCCAAAATTGTGTGACTTAAATTAAATGTTCTACTTGCACGCACTGGCTGAATAGCAACACAACTACTGTCATTTTTTTTACTCATTTTATTCAGAACGGTGTGTTCTGACCCGCTTGGAAATTTTTCAAAATCGCCGGACCTTCACCATTGATCTAACGACATTCCCACACTTTCACTGATTGATCTACACTGCCCGAGATGACGAAGGGATGTGATTTGTGGAAATCTGTAAAAAGAAAAATCGAAATTATACCAAAGAAAAAACATCTCATTCCAAAATTAATAAAAACTAGAATGACATGGTTATTCTTAATAAATGAAATTTATTAAAAATGTTTTTTCATTTAAAACAAAAAACCAGCGACATTTCCCATTTTACAGCATTTACTTACAAGAATATACACATAACTTATTGATTGTTCTAGTTGTAAAATGGGAAAATATTACTTCAAATTAAATTAAATAAAATTTGAGGCCCATATGTTCTACTTTACAGACTACCGAATTTTTAGTTTTAACATAACACGCTTCGTGCGCTGCAGACGATGTCAAGCAAACTTGTTACCAACTATGACAGAAAATTTGTTTAGTTTTTAAGTTGAAACTTCTGAACTTTGAGGTAAAATTGGCGGCTATAAATAGACCATGTTCTATTTATCGTGAACAACTCCTTGAAGAAATTCTTGCATTTATTTACGTGAATTTTGGACAAGCGGTTGTTGATAAACATGCTAAACAATATTTAACCGTTATGTGAGCCTCGAGGAAGACCTCAATAAACTTATATTTGTCTTAAAATAAAGCCTTATCACCATTGCATTTAGATGGCCTAGTACAGTCTTACTCAAAGTGTGCTCTGCGGAGCCCTGGGGCTATAAAATTATATTGACGTTTATTTTTCTTTTTTAACCATTTAAGTTCATAAATTTTATGAGATTCTCGATCATATTTTCGAAGTCCATAAATAAATCTAGCACAATAATTTTGTACTTTTTGTATGCGGTTTTGTGTATAAGAATCAATAAAATTTCCATAGACGACATCACCATATGAGAAAATAGACAAAACTAAGGACTCTGATAACATTTTTTCACCTTCCAAGACAGACTGTGCCTCATGGAATATAACTTTTTTTAAGTCGAAAATGATTTTTTTAAAAGGTTGTTTACATGCGAGTGGAAATTGAGATCAGAGTCAAACAGAATGGCTAGATTCTTTATGGAATCCGCTATAGGTAAAGTTAGTTGATCAATTTTTATGGAAAGACGTTGACTAAGGTAATTCCGTTGTTTTTTGTTTCCAAATAGGATTGGATGAAATAATGTGATCAACTGTAGGTAGAATTTTTGACAAAGTAGAGTCAATACTATCAATAAAAAGGGACACCTTTAGGTGGTCGATATATAATTTCAACCAAACATTTGATGATAAATCGAATATCAATTTACATCAAAAATAAATATTCTGTTTATACTTAATCGACTATCGCTCCATCTATTAGTAATAATAGAGAAATTACATTCGTTTTAAGTTTTGACACCCGTTCAATGGTTCGAAGACATGACTTGGACAAGACAGAGCTTGCTGCCATCTATTTACTGTCCATTGTCCTCCAAGATAATTTGCATTGGCTATCTAAATACAATGCTATCGCAAACTTTGCTTGCTTTGCTTAACTTTGCATACACAAGTCCAGATCCGGATTTAGATTTGTTAATTTTGATATTTATTTTTGAGCTTTTTGAAAAAAAAAGTTTATTTTAACGACTTCTCTACACAGTTAAAAAAGTATCAATTTAGGATTCACCCTGTATAATAAGCTTCCAACTACCCTAAAAATATTGGGAGTAGATCATTTCAAAAGATATCTAATGCAGCTGATATACTCTATATTTTTTAGTGAATACAAAAATAGCTTTTCCTGCTACATTCTTACCATTATAGTATTAAGTATTTTTTTTGTATTTTTTATATATTTTTTGTATCTCTTTGGGTTATTTTATAGTGTTATTATCTTTATCTTCTTAAACCTTAATTGTTACTGTTTTCATTACTTTCTCGATGATGCTGGGTGAGGTTTTCTGGGTTTTCCTCACCTGTAAGTCAAATGGCACCATCAATCATCTTTAAGTCACCCCGGAGCGCCACGTCAAATAATAATAATAATAGCCGTCCCTTTCCCTACACAAGTCGTTCAGTCAACTTCAGGGGTTAAATTTACTCGTAAGGGGATGAATTAGGGAGAGTATTATTATTATATAAGAGTTAATAAAACCTGCAGTTGCAATAAAGGGGTGGGGTTACATATGTGATTATTACAAAATTAGGTAATTTTAATTAATTTATTCTTCTGACATATAATAAACTTGTATGACTCACATAGCATGTGCTCAGGGTCTTTTTATTTGTGAATCAATTTTATATTTGTCCATTAAGTTGAGTGGAAGAGAGGACTTACCTTTGCTTGCAAGGATTACACCTAACTAATGCTTTTTGGCAAATATTGTATTATATTTCTCTGTATTTAGTTTTTTTGTTTTATTTGCCAATACAAGCTTTTATTATTATTATTATTATCTACGCCAAAAACTTTACAAAAAAAAAACTTGAAGCCACAATGTCAGAGTGTAAATGGTAATATATTCGAGTTTACTCACCCAAAGATGTGCAAAAGTGTTTGTGTGCCTCCAACGTCTTCATGCAGCGTTTATTCCTCAGATCCCAAACCCTAAGCGTTTTGTCATCACTGGCCGAAACCAAAAATTTACCTCCTGGATGGAATACTACACCTCTAACCCAGTTATCGTGACCAGCTAAAACGAACAGGGCGATTCCAGCTCCAACATCCCATATCCTTTGTAAAAAAAAATTAATATTATAATTTAAAATGTTTTTTGTTTTTGTTTCTAGAGGTGTAAAAACAATTCCACAACTCACCTAATTGTTTTATCTCTAGAAGCCGAAGCTAGGAAAGGTCCGGTGTGCGCGCCCTTTCTGTTATCGGCGCCGGCAGCTTCGTTGATAGGACCGGACGCCGAATCGGGCGCCCAGCATATACATTCGACCACGTGATCGTGCGCCCTCAACTCCGTCCTGCACTCTTTCGAAGACGCTACCCAAATTCGTACGCTCTGATCGTTCGAGCAGCTGGCTAGTAATGAACCGTCGGGCGATGCTCGTACCATCCTTACCTGGAACCATAGTTAAATGTCAATATTAGATTTTGAATTCAAATTGCAATTTTCTTAGAGATGAAACTTTTTATTTCTAAAATTTTGGGTATATAATATAAAACAATTAATTAAAATTAATTAAAAAATGTTTGGCTAAGGGTCAGTTTTTTCACCTCTGAGTAAAGTTGAAAGTAACTACTTGCTGATTAAACCATAGGGCTACTGTTTGTTAATCTATCAAGTAAACATATATGTAACTTTACTCAGAGGTGAAAAGATCGACCCTTAATTTTAAAATATGAAATTTAAAAAAGTGGGATATAAAAAAAATCAATCACTAAAGAAAGCCATCCGATTTGGAGCACAAGCTCTGAATATATAAATACATAAAAGGAAAAAAATTGAAATTTAATACTCAAACCTCATAACCAAGAATTTAAATAGTAATGAACGACGGACATCAGTCACACTCTGTAGCTATTTTATAAGTAGACAGAAAATGCTATATTTTGAACTCTAATAGTAATGTCGGGACCTTGATTAGCCTCTGTCACAAAATGTTAAAAGTGATTTAGTTCTTAATAATCGTTTTTATACGCCTATAATATAAAACTACACTTTCTCAACTATTGCTGATTAAGAATGAGGTATATTACTTATTTGATTATGACAACACAAAGTAGTTATTCACTAATTATTTTAATAAAATCATGAGAGCCATGAAATGTCAAAAATTTAACAATGCACTATAACAACGCATCAAAATTTTCAATCTTATTTACATAGAAACATCCTATTTTATTGCAACTGAACCCAAAAAATTTTGAATCATTAGTTATATCAAATTTAACTAAATTAGATGTAATAATTTTTAATAAATTCCAAATCCTAGTAATGATTAGTTGGAAGTGGCAACAGGGCTTATACCGGCATGGATATCTGGGTTATTTATTATGAGCCCACATCGCTCACACCCTGTCTTACACATTTATTCATTATAAAGTTTATCTGTGTTAAATCCTTCTCTTTATCCCCTCTCTTACTTCTCACCTTTCGTCTCCTCGCCGCGGACCTACAAATAGAGCGTATTGATTGTCGAATTAATCTTGGCATCGTGAATATTATCTTTTATCAATGAATAATTATATATCTGTTATCTCTGATTACAATGGCCAAATAGTATACCCAAAAAACAAATATTTTTAAAACATTTGTTTTTTCTTATAATGCGTAGATAATTTCAGTATGTATGACAGTTATTATACCTAAAATATATTTCAAAAAAGGTAGTTCATTGGACTGGAATAGAAATACTTTTTTTTTCTTAATTATTGTGAACATCTGATCTAAATTAATTTTATTGGTTAAGATACCCCAGTATACGTTCTGATTTCTGATATATTATCTTTACTTACTATTAAAACTTAGTTACAAATAGGCAGATATTAAAGAAAAAATAAATAATACTACTTACCCAGTCACGATGCCCACTGTACGTTTTGATACAGTACCCCGTCGACACCTCCCACATCTTGATGGTCTTATCCCTACTCGAAGAAATGACGAAATCTCCAGCCGGCATAAACGATACGCTGGATACATTATGATCGTGACCCAACATCGTACGTATACACTCGAAGGATTGCTGGAAATCCCACAATTTGATGCTCATGTCCGCGCTACAGGACACCAAAAGTTTGCCGGACGTGTCGAACGCGATGTCCTGGACACAGTCCGTGTGACCTTTGAGTGTACGTTCGAATTCGCCGGTTTCGAAGTCCCAAACCTTGATGGTGGCATCTTCGCTTGCCGATACCATCAGGCTGAAGACTGGGTGAAAAATTACTCGAGTCACAGGCGCTCGATGACCTGCAATAAATTTTTTAAACGTTACACTACCCATTATAAAGAATCAAGTACAGAATGATTCAATGCTAGGAGCTATAAATTTTATGAGGTGGATGACAGGAAACTATTAAGCAAATAGTAAACAAAAATAGTCATAAGTAGGCAAAGAACTTTTTCTACGTTCACTATCCAAAGTAGGCTTTTACACATTCAAATCGAACTAAACAGTTGACGTTTATAATTTAACATTAGCGCACACGTGCCCCAAAGTAACTTGTCACGTTTGTCTATTATCATTTGAATTAAATAAAAGAAAGCTAAACGATATTTTAAAACAAAATGTAGGCTTATCTAAAATATTTTAATTGACTTCCTAATATTTTAAATCATCAAACAATATTTTCTGTAAATAATTAATAATTAAATCATAAATAATTACCGATATATAAGTACTAAAACATTTTTCTCCTTGAAGAGTAGACTTATGTCAAATAAACTACCAATATTATAACGAAAGAAAGCAACCCATTTCTAATAAAATAAAGTAATTTTATTTTGGTGATATCGTAGAACAAATCTTGTATGTAATTCGATCAGAAAGTTCTTTGGCAATTTCGACAAATTAGCGCGCTCCGCTAACGCTTCGTGCGGCAACTTCCTGTCTCAACTGTCAAAATGCTACTTTCTCCTCTTAATACACAAATAGCTATTGAAAAAAGGAAGCAAAGAGCTTCAGAACTCTTGATGCCCGGGATTCACGCAATAAATGTATTGAAGAAGTGTACGAATATTTTCTAAGCAGTTCCTTTCCACCTGCTGTGAGACACAGGAGTGACGGGTGACCTTGAGTCTGAGCCGGAAGCATCATGCAAACGGATCAGCGGTTTAAAAAGTTCACAATTAACATTTATTCAAATCACACCTATTAATCTGTATCTTTTATGTTTTGTGTTTACTTTGAATGTTAATAATAAAAAGTTAAAGTAATTTGAATCTGCGAGGTACCTAAATCACTTGTTAATTCATATTGGCGCCCAACGTGGGGCCGCTATCAGATTTTAATTTTTTTTTTGTGTGAATTCGCCGAGTAAACATTTAACAAGTACTTTGTTTTGACTGACGTTGACGTTGGTGAAAAAAGTTACTATGCAAATAAAATAAACAGTTTTTAGTAGCTCAAGTTTGGCCGATTTTGGACTGTGAAAACGATTCTTTTTTCGAAGATACACTGTTTTGAATTACGAACTTTATTCGGTTATCGGTAAATCCGGTTTTGGACTGAATTACGTAGTGTAATATGACTCTAGCTCCCGATAAAACCAATTTTGGATTAAATTGTGCCGCAATGTCTACTACCTACCTGTAAGGTATTATGCATTCTCAAGAATGAGATTTATATTATTTATTGACTTGTATACTGAGGAATTTGTTGAGGTAACAAATTGATGACACTGCAAGTAAATTTTCTTTAATATCTGGAAGCTATAGACAGCCATAGACGCTAAAATATAACACTTCTTTTGAATCATATTTTTAGTTTAATCACATGCCCAATTTTATATACGTATAAGAAGAGGAAGAATACTTTAACTATGTTATTCATAATTATATAAATTTATAGCAGGTAAAAAATACAGAATAGTTACAAAATAAATCACGTGAAAGCCTATTTGTCTCAACCTAATAACTTGCCGCTACTGCTTCTTCTTTTAGTTCATTGGTTAGACTAGATAGTTGTGTCTATTACTTGAAAAATTAAGGTAGTTTCGTCAGCAATTAATGTACTGTGATGAGGTTTCATAAAATGCCATAAATAATTTATCTATACGATAAAAAATAACAGTTCCAGAACTGATCCTTGCGGAATTCCTATTCTTACAGGACTTAAATCCGACAGACTGTTAATATATAATACTTTGAGATTGGTTGCCGAAATATTATTTCCCTTGACTCCATATTTCAAGAAGGATATCGTGTGACACAGTCAAAAACCTTTTTACAAATCACACAAAATAACTGAAACTTTCCGTTTTCAATGCGTTCCAACCAAGTAATAAACGGCACAAATTGCAACATCAGCCTCTTAAATCAATTTGAACGAAAACCAAATTGAAGGACAGAAAAAATGTACCTAATTCAAAATAATGAGAAAGTCACGCTGAATTTTAAAGTTAAAGTTCGATCCATTATTTTGAATTGCAGTTCATTAAAATATCTACATATATATAGCAGTTTAATAGCTGTGTGAGTCACTTGTATTAAGTCACAATACCTACGCTAGACTGGTATATGGGCCATGCTTTGACGATGATTCGTCGGCAAGAATTTAAAGAATTCAAAACTGCCTTAAGGCAGATTTATTTTTTCAGATGTCTCCCTTAACTTGAGTGAGTTGGGTTTTTTGTTACGTACAAATTACATTTTGCTTGCTTTGTACAAATTATATATTCTTTGAAGACTGTTCCATTAACCGATATACGAGGTACTTTCAAAAGGCAAAAATATTTTTAATACTTATATGCGATTCGATAATTTGCATTAGTGCTGTCAATTATTACCGAAATTTGGTTTTGGCGTGTGTTGGAACAGACCTGTCGTTTTGAGACGTCAAATTTGGGATATTTTTGTGGATTTTACAAAAATAAATTACCCGAAGACTTAAGAGACCTGTAAGGATACTTTACCTGTGAGACAAAATTTTTCGGGTGGTCTCGGTATCCATTCGGATGGCGTTCGTTTGTTTCGCGTAGGCGCGCCCTCTATGTATTCCTTTTCCGCTTCGTTCAATTTCGACTCCAACTCCATGACTTTCTTCTGCAACCTGATGACGGACGTCCATTTTTTCTCGAGAAGTCCGCCGAATTTGCGTTCGACCTCGCCGGGCATGTCGGCCTCCTTCTTGAAGGCCTCCAAAGCGTCGGTGTATCCATTACTGCTGAGGTAGTCAGCGATGGCTTTATTACTGCAACAAAGAAAGTGTTTTGTTAGAATTATTGGACATTTAACTTCAAGCGAATTATTGTAGTGAAATACATTTAGGGGAAGGTGGTTCCAAAATGATCCGTCTAAGACTAAAATGCTTCATAAGAGATGAAGGAGTTACTAAATTATTTTTAGAATTTCCAATCGTGCTTTAAATAGATATTTATGCAACCAGTTTTTTTTTTTTTTTATAGTTTTTACACCCTTCGGATCTCCCGTGCTATACCCTAATCCGTCTATAGCCTGGCGGCACTGCAGCCTGCGGCTTATTGTACCACCATTTGAAGGTCCTACTACTTTCTCATTAATCAATTCACTCCCTGATTCATCGTCATTCATTCCACGTCGTCGGTGGTTAACCGCTAGTCGGATAAGTCCCATAGTGACACGGCCCATGGTGGAACCTCCCAGCGGTCACCCATCCACGACGTGACCGGAGAATCACTGCTTAACTGTTGCGAGTATGTGGATGCACACTAAGCTCGCAGCTAGCCTCTCCGGCTATGCAACCAGTTACGAAATGCCTTATTTTATGTAACAAGTGAATATTTGCGAGACTAGCAGAGCGAGGCCCCCAACATAAACGAGTTAAATACAATAATTTTTTTTTAAAATTTTGACTAGATTATTTATAAAACTGTGTTTTGGTAAAACATTACTGACATCCAGGCAACCAACATTACTTTCTTCTCAATGACTTGTTGTAGGGTTTATATATTGCTTGTTAAATTTATTTAGTTTTCAAGAAAGTGGGTTATTTGTTATTTTGTGGTGTATTGTGTTTTATTTTGTGATGATTTAGAACATTATTTATTACTAGGTTGTAGGTTTATTCATATTCCATTTTTTATATATTCAACCTTCCCTTCTTGGATATAAACTTTTAATATAATGTATATATTGATTTTAAAACCAAAATAGGTTTTTTTTATTTTTCTTTTCACAACTAGTGACATAATGAATTTTTCGTAACGAGTTTCATAATGTTCAACTGGTTGCATAAAGTAGATCATTTAGAAACTTGATGCAATTAAAAAAAAAGTTACTTTATATATTAAAATTAGAAGAAAAAAGTATACTGACAAAAAAGAAATAAAATTTGTACACTGAAACAGTCGAATAACTAGGTAAAACTAACATAATTTTCTAAACACAGGATTCATGATTAATAAAAAGAAAAATAAATCCAAAATCAAATGTAACCCAAGAAGTCAAAAAAAAAAAAAAACAACTAGCTGGCTGGCGAATACCGTAACAGGCATTAAATTATATCCACAGAAAAACAGTAGAGATCGAAAATTATTTTTAACATTTTGCTTGCTCTGGTACAAATAGATCAACAAACTAAATAAAAATGACATATAATTGAATTCATGCCCGGAGCGAAACTATCATAACAAAAGATACCACGTTAAATTCGCTTTTTAGATGAAAAGACGATAGTACACACCTAGAGAAAGGAATTTATAAGGTTAGTGTTGCATAAGAAATTTCATGTTTATAACTTAATAAAAATAACGGCAGGTACAAAAATGTAAGAACATAAAACTATTAATTGAAACTGACATTTCAAATAAGAAAAGGAGCGCCTGAGTTAACAGCACTCGAGTGTTAGTTTAGATCTGTTACTATTTTATTTATTATCCTTTTTTATACGATATCAGTAGCGTGAGAAAAAGTAGGTTTTTTTTGCAATTAGAGGTCTAGTTTAAAAGTGTACAATCACCAGTTTAAACGAATTTCCAGAAAAAGGAAAACGTATTAAACTGAATGTGGTGCCTTCTAGGAAAAGTTTTCAAACATATTTACAAAAAAACTTAAATGTAAAATCCGCAGCCATAGAAAAAACATTGATTAAAATTTATGAGTTCCGATTTTTCCGGAAGTGTTGAAATTTTTTTTCTTTAACAACCTACTCGTTATATAAAAAACATCTGATTATAATCTTATTAGGCATATTTTATAGACTGTTTTCGTAATTTTCTTACGGAAGGAATATTGTTAAACAGAGCGAATATAATATTTATTTTTCATATTAATAAAAAACATAAATAAACAAGATTCAAACAAATTTGATTTTTTTTTTCCTATCTGCATATGAACTTTAAGCATTATTTCCCTGATTTATGTACAGAAAGTGTCACTTTACCGTTCTATGGATAATTGTAGGATCATTTTATGAGAAGCCTGTTAAAAGTTAAAAATACTGACACTTATGCATTTAAAATTAAAACTTTTTAGAATCTCAAATTAGAGATTTTTTACTTTTTATGCACTTTTAGATCGTTTCAAAATCTTCCCTGCTAACAAAATAAAATTGGACTTTTAACACTTTCTCTAAAAAACATTGAATTATTAGCAAAATTTTGAAATCCGACAACCGGGGGTTGATAATTAATTTAAATAATTCTTATATATTACATATTATATTCAAATTTTATTTCGAATTCAAACATCATCCCAGCGAGTCCCGTCTCTTAGGCGCCGTTTTATTACTTCTGGGAAAAACAGCCTTTGTGTCGTGCATCACGGCCACTAGCTAAAAAAACACATGTTTTTTAAGGGTTACCTTCAGGAATTAATACAGGGCTTTATAGTCTTTATGCTCGAACGCATATTCGTTCTCTTTCCGATACATTGGCGTATATGGGAAATTTAAGTATAAATACCCGGGTTTTTTTGTGGGCAAGAGGATTAACTTTTTCTTCTTCACCGAGTCAAGTTAACAAAAGTACGCAAATATCCATGTTACCATTACGGTGACTCCTTTTTCTTTATATTCTTCAAATATAATTAAAAAGAGATATCGCTACCATTACGGTGGCCGCGTCTTTGTTATATTTTGACCACGGAAATAAAAGATATCGACGGAGTAGAGAAATTAGTTTCTATAAACGACGGCTTCTGCATAGATATCCAGTTATCCTTAGGATGACCACCTTTTTCTTATATTCTAGATATAAGTAAAAGGAGATATATAGTCAGTTTTGACCAAAGCAGATACACGTTGAGTAGATACAGATTTCGCTCCTAGAACTGTTTTGTAAAGTTGTATCTACCGAGCGACTAAAATATTGGCGTAACTGATACTAGCGATACCACGCTAGTCTAGTTAAACGCCAGATATTTTATATCTCCGATTCAACATTATAAAATGTTACTAAATGATTAAAAGTGCTACTCTAGGCGTCGTTCGTATTGGATTGTGTCACCCTTCTGGCTGACCGACGAACTTACGTCCGGTAGACCTTTTGTCAGCGGTATACTTTTATTTCTGTAAGGTTTCTTTTACGTAGAATTAAAACGATAATCGCACTATTAAAGTAATCAAACTAGTAATTAATATTCAGATATTCCGGGGGAGAATTTAGACAAACATTAATAGGTTACAGGTATCACTTTATTTACTCTTATATTCATTAGCGGGAACATTCGCGGCTGTGTGTTATTGTCATATTTTTGGTATTCATTGGTAAACGTTTATTGTGGGAAAAATTATACGATTTTATATTGTGCTAAATTACGTTATTTAGAGAATCGATAGTGATGTTGTTGTCATAAATATTAATAGTTCTAAAGTCGGTCAATGCTCTCAAGCAATAAATTAAGTCATTTAGATTTATGGCCAAAGGGCTGAATTGTAAAGTTTCGGGTGTCTGTAAAGATAAAAACACTTTCGGTTTTACTTTTAAATGGCGAACAGATGTAGATTAGTAGGGTAAATGCCTGGATTTGTATATATTTTAAAGTTAGATTGCGGTTAAAAAATATGTTTTCTGTCTTTCTTTGTAAAACAAAATTGGGTAGACAAATGTGTCATTTTAGCCGTACGGAATTTTAGTTTTGTGTATCGAATTTTCGGGAAAAAGGATATATGTACAGCGGCGGGTAGAATCATGAATATTGAGGAGGGTCGTATTTATTTGTACATATCCACCTATCTTTAGCGGGACATTACGCGGAAGTAGTCGGTATGTTTGTTATTTATTTAGAATAAATAGGTGAAATTGTGTTTGTGGACTAGCTAACGTATTCTCAGAACTGTGATTAATAACACTGATTTGTCAATCGACAGAGCAAAAGAGCATCGTGCCGAAAAAGACGCCTTAGGCCACCATAGACCGCCAGGGACCTCAATAGTAAGGGCCTAAAAATGGTATTTCCCTTGCGGCTATGTAAATTAAAGCCTGATAGAGGCTTGGATGGATCTCTACTGAGATACCCCAAAAGTGGGCCTGACGGGCATCCCCCTTTATATCAGGTGTTCTTCGATCGACCGTTTAGTGTTGTCCATACAGGACTGAGTATGTCGGTAAATTACGGCGTTGGAATATTAGAGAAAGGCGCGACGCACGGTGAGGTAAATCTATACTCCGGTTTTTACACATATTAGAAATATTAAATTTAACCGACTTCAAAAAGGAAGAGGTTCTCAATTCAACACAATATTTTAGATCTCACAACACTCCTCGTGCTACCGTTGTACTCTCTTTTATTAGACAATGCGTAATTCAGTAGTTCCGTGGAAACGTGTGATTGTATATTAGGAGACAAACAAACATACCAAATTACTTCCGACTTTTATTTTACCCTTTTATGGGAACTAAAAGCTCTGAGGTTAGAAATGACACATTAGAAAGCCTACATAAACATAATGTTAAGCCTAAAAATGGCACATAATTTAAATGTTCGGCTGTACAAAAGAATAGATGTTAAATAAACAGTATTCAAAATTAATCTCGGTGTTTCCTTTGTTCTTCCTCCATTACAGCTACATTGAACTCTAAACGAAATTCTGGGGGTTTTAACATCACTTCGTGGGGATCTACTAGACGAAATTTAGGCCAAGGTTATAAGTATTTGCAAAACTAGGTCAGGGTCCGGTCTGTCAAGTTACAATTTACAATGATAGTTTTTCAGAGCCAACGGTTATGATATGGCAAAATTATGGCAACCCTGTATTCCTGGTGATTTGAAAAG